GTTGTCAGTGATTTTTTTTCCTTATTCAAGTCATAATAATCATAGAGAATTTGGAAATTGTTGAACACGACAGTCTGCTCCTTCTCCGTTTTGTTTTGAAGTGCTTTTATGTTGTCAAATTGGAACTGAAAACAACTTTGCTTCCATTTCCAAATGGAGTTGCAACTAGTTTGCACTTCTTAATGACTTTTGAGTATTGAGGCTCTGGTTGTGATCAGGATGCTAGTTTAAGGTTCAATTCACGACAGATGGCACCCTTTTCGTATTGGAGAAAGACAAAAGATACTGCATTGGTAAGGCTTTAGTTTAGTTCGAATTTTAGTTTGTCGAATTTTAGTTTGTCCATTTTACACACTGTCAGCTCAGTTGTGTATGATGCCTAAATTGGCATGGAGAGTATTGGTTTGTTGTAGGAAAAATCATTTCAGAGTGATATCTACTTACTGAAAGGAGTTTGTGGGTTATGAGAATGGAATTTCTTCTGTTATGCTTTGATACTTCAACACGTTTCACTCTTCAAGTAACACTTAAGCTGATTTAAATCAGAACTGCAGTGCCTTTGGTTAGATTTACGTAAACGTTTAGGTGAGGGCAGACGGATGAATCTCAGAATTGACAACTGTTCATTGCTTTTGAGATGACGCTGACTCAAAAGATGACAGTAGGTAATTTATTGGACTTTCTATTCAACCTGTCAGACATCAGCAGTCACACAGACTCTGATTTCCCAAGCTGAAGGAGTCTGTCCAGTGTGTTAGTTATCTAAGTGTACTTGAGATGCTACATGTCTCTTCATCCTGGTATTTCTCAGCACAGCATGCTGCTTCTGTGAGTATGCTGCTCTCCATCTGCTTTTGACTCACTGCATGTTTGTGTGAGCTGAGCAAGAGTTGTTGAGTGTCTTTGAATAAACTGATGAGGATGGGGGTCTTTTATATTCCAAGTTCGCCCCCGCCCCTCCAACCCAGCCCTCCCTTTTTTGCATTAGTTTGGTGTTTTCCAAAAAGCTGTACACAGTTGGCCCATGATTCCAGGGACAGCGTTTAAATACTGAATATTAATGGAAGCTTCCTAACAAAATTAGACAGCAACATATCAATAAAAAATTTGACCGTGTTTGAAAATTGGAACTAAAGGTACAGAAGCTTACGCAGTCTCACATACATGAAGTTTTCTATTCATTTTTGATGAAGGTCTTGTTAGGTGAGGCCACCTTTATCTGTCTCTCAGTGTTTATTGTTTACCTATTTATTATAAAAGCATCCAATAAGGACACAAAAAATGTTTTAGATTAAAATGGAGCCTTTCCTTATCCTCAGCTTTGTGTATTCCCTTTTTCTACTGCATTGTATTCCTTTCTGGGATAATACTTTTTTCTGTCCTTGAGAGGGCAAAGTAGGAAGGAGCACAGATGAGCACCTCAGTATGCTTCTCAAAGCTTGTTTAAAAATTGCCCTAATTAAGAAGGTCTTATGTGTATTTGTGTGCTTGCTTTGTAGAGTCACCTGCACAAACGACAAAAGACGTCCTCTGCTCAGGTTTGTTGCGTTTCCTTTCCTCTCGCAGTACTTTGTAAGTGGAGGTTAACCTATATCAAGTGAGCTGATCAGTTTTTTTCTTACTTTGTCCTTCAGTCCTGCAGCCTGACAGAGCTGGATGAGAAGATAAGCGCAGTGAAAGCAGCTCTGCTGAAGAGGGCGACTGAGTTTGGGCCTGAATTTGGAACAGATTGTACATTGTGATATATTCATAAGCGCAAACAAATACTCGAGTTCAGCTGTTCAAGCATTTAGTGTGTCATCATTTTCTTTTCCTCCAACTCTCAGCTACTCATTAGCAGCATTCTCATCGTCTGTGTCATTAAAAACTCCAAAAAACTCTTCATGTGACATTTGATGATATTGGATGGAAATCGTGTACTGCTATAACAGTTAAATGAAATATAAATTTTCTGTAAATAAATCTATATTTTCCTCCATGAAAACCCTGACTCGTGGTTTCATCACAGCTATTACTATATTAGTTAAATCTAAAACTCAAGCTAAATGCAGTTTGTGACTTTTATAGGTAGAAATTAGTAGTGCAAATAATATTAAGCAGATTGATCAAAAAACAATTTCACTGTGAATAATTTGTTTTTTAAATGAAAGCAAATGTCAACATAGTATCCAGCCTTATAATCAGTATATTTTTGCTTATATTATAACTTTATAAAAAATAAGTAGTTTCAAATTTCAGCTCAAATAGATAACACATAACCTAAAATACTCTTAAATTTAACATTATAGAATGCATGTATATTGGATCTTTGACATTTTCATTTTCACACCCTAATGATAGGAAGGCAAGTGTGTGCGTTTATGCATGACATTGTGTGTGTGTCTAGTCGAGATGAATCAGAGAAAGGAGGGAGAGTGCACCTGATTTATCTGCCTGACTGCTGTGTGACGATGATCACCCCTAATGGTTGTCATTATAACAAATGACCTGATTACTGCAACTCTGTTTGGGAAACATATTGGAGACCCAACAAACCAGCATTAAATGGGACGCTGCTGCGTTTGACACTGTGACATGTTCATAAAAGGCTTTTGCATAGAGCTTTAACTTCGCTAGTGAGTGAAGCTGTAATTATGATTTCTTTTTTTCCAGCTATCAGCAAGTCTGAAGGGCTGTTGCTTTATCTTGAAACTGCTTCAGTAAAAGAGGATGTATGTAGAAGCTTAAGAAAAATACTAACACAAGTATTTGTCACGCAGATTTCTGCATTTAAAGTCGTATTTTTGAGCAGCAAATTTATCAAAAGGAAAAAAAATACTTAACTTTTACCCCCATAAGTGTTCATTGGTATTAGAAATGGCACTGTTTTTAACACACTACGGCCACAGCTGGTCGAGATGATAATCTGAAAACGTTAAATATTTATAAGGAAAATTTGATTTTAGTAGAACTTGCATCAATTCAGAGATTCAGAGAAGGAAGGACCATTGCATATTATCTTGGAGAGTTGATGTCATGAAATAAATAAATAAATGTAAAGTAAGTACTAACAAGACCTGTCCAATGAATGTAATTATATAAAATGTGCAATAATATCCTCTTAAATTTAGTGCAAATATGAAGTGTCATAAACATTCAAATTAGCTGGGTTTTAATACTGTGAAGTGAATGAGCCCAGTTTAGAGGCGAGAAAAGCACTCAATTTGTTTTTAAAACATAAAACTCAACAGATTGATCGAAAAAAAAAATTTTTAAATTCTATATTATAATATTGTATATATGTTATAAAAACCAGCAGCTTGAATTCATGGCTAGCAGACCCAGGCACAGTCTATTTTTCAGACACACAGGACAGAAATTCTTCTTCTTCTAACTGAATAAAAATAGCAATGTCATTTTCAATATAATTTTTGCAGCAGGTGTGACAAACTGACAAGTCCAGAAAAACACAACTTTCTCACGTCTTGGGAAATTACTGTAACTCCCCTTCCTTTTCTCTCCAGTTGCTCTTTGTACATCTTGTCAAGATTTATTTCAGAGTTGATTGATGGAGTGACCTGAATACAACGGCAGACGTCGCATTGTGTTTTTCGGAAGATATTTCATTCTAACGCGGAAATGGGGAAATTTCTTTTCACCCCTTCTTTCAGGTGAACCCCGCTTGTTGGGGTCTGTCCATCTCTTGCTCATAGACTGGAACCTTCTAGGCAACAAGGGGCCACAGTGTGCTGGGAAGGGGAGCACTTGAGCTGTGGCGATGTGGACGCGGGGAGGCCGGGGGTATTCTCATTGTTCCTCTGGAGCTTTTGTCTCAAACACAGTCCCCTTATGAGGGTTAATGAGGACAAATTGGTCTGAGTGTAACAAATGGATTATGGAGTTGGACAAAAGCTCGTATTTTGTGGGCTGCTTTCTCTGGGATCCACCCATCATCTGCCCATTGAGCCAAATACGCTATCTAGCGTCTACGTGAAGTGGCTTCCTAAATATCTCATTATCTTTATCCTGTCTGATTTATTCACTGGCACATTATGCATGCAGCTTCCTACGGTGGATCTAACAAAAATGTAAAGTTTATGTCACAGTAATGCAGTTTCAAATCATGGCAATTACCTCTCCTCTTTCCTACTGCTTATATCAAGAACACAAAGTCAATATGTCAACACTAGTGTCAGTGGTTGGTGCTCTATGGCTATGTAGGAATAGTGTACCTGTACCCTTCCAAATGAACAAAGAGCCACTTCCTTTTTGACTCTATGTAATTCCTGGCTGTCAATCAGTCCTTCCTCTGCCAGATGTCTTAAAATGTCCTTGGGAACCTCAGTAAAAAGACACAGAGGTGTTCCTTGTCTTCCGTGGGTCCAGTATTTTTTGTGGGGTCGAAGGAGAGGATTCATATCCATTCATATCTCAGAAACTCCTAATGGGCTCCAAGTCCTCCAAAAAGAAAGCTCTTTCCTGTGACTAGTCAGCTCCAGTCTTTATTCATCTGTGGCTCAGTGTCAAAAAAGACTGTTGCTCGTTTGTGCCCTGAACAATGAGGAACAAGGCTGAATCTCTAGCTGGGAACAAAAGACAGAAAACAGGCTTTTCACTCTGCAGAACATTAGATTCTGACACATTTTGCCATGGCAGTTTTTTCCCCATCCTGAGTGCTGTGGCTCTGGTCTTTTAAAGAGACCACCTGTTGGCAACAAGCCTGTTCTTCATTACAGACAGGCCTATTATCACAGGATGAGGAGCGCCACAGGCTAACTTTTTTAAGTTAACCCTGCTGCAGTTTTCAAAGCTGGACGATTAGGAAACATAGATTACGTATTACCACTGGAAAATCTATTTTTTTCTTGTAATTTTCGATGTTGTGTTTGAATATGGGCTTTTGTCGCCGTAAGGGAGAAGTACTTTATCCATGCCCTTGTCAGTCGCAAATGTCACAAAAGGGGCTCAAATGCTCGCAGCTTCAGTTTTCTATAACTATAGATTTGGAGCCAAATTCAGATGCATTTTAGGAGAAAGTCCCAATGGACTTAATGCAACATCGTTGATGGTGGTCTGGGCTTTTTTTTCTTTTTCCATCTCACCGTTTCTGTTGAGTGATTTTCAACCCACAAAACATTAGCATAACTACAGTATGCAGCATCACAACTATGTGTAAAATAAAAATATTGTGGGTGGCAAAATGAAGCAATCAAGTGTATACTTTGGTTTTGAATTGGACATGATAAACACAGGCTGACAGGAACAGGGAGTGTTATTTTCTGCCGTTTGATTGTGTGGAAATTTTAAAGATAATGTTAAATAATTTATGGTTCTCATAGCTCTGAAACCACACGGATAATTCCAATTTCAGGACTAGTGCTTGCTGCTAGCACACATTTTGCATGTAAAGGTTTTTGGTGGCCCGGGACGCCGGTGGCAAAATTTCACTCTCTTTAAGCAACATGAAAAACACAGCAAATACCATCACTCTCAGGTTATATCCAATCCAGACGCATTTGTTTCATGTTCATAAACACCCAGATAAAGAGAGTGCATGCACCTGTGACCCTCCCCCACAAAGCAGACAGCACAAGAGAGGATCCCCCTGTAGCCCACAGGCTTCAACAAGAGGCAGTCAGCTGCTCTCTGTGGCCCTGCTGCACAGTCCCCAGGCTCTCTGGAGTTAAATGTGCCTGTGATATTGCCAGGAGGGAGCAGCGGGAGTTGAATTCAGGCAATTACAATCAAGTCAGGGCATAGTTAGTGCGTGGGTCCTGGCAGCACCTGAGCTGGATGCTGATGAGACACTTAGCCACAAACCCTCATGCATTGGCCCAGGCACTGCATAGAGCAAGCCCTCCTCCCCCACCTTCCCTCTCTTCCCACAGCAGCAGACCCCCTACTGGACACTTCCACTTCCCTTTGCCCCATTTAAGCCTCTAGAGCTCTCTCATACTCTCTCTCTCTCTCCCTCTCTCTGGCCCTCACATTGCAATACTTCTGCTTTATATAGGTGGCGTGGAGTACTGCACTCAATCACTCTTCATTCATTCACACTGTACAATAATAGACTACTACTCCGATATTGTCCTTCAAGCACCTGTGCATAGCAGAGCTTTAAACCTGAGATGTGTCATGCCAAGTTCTTGAGAAATGTGTGAAGAGTTATTTCTCTTAAATGCACAAAAAAAAAGTGTGGATAAGACACTTTTGATTATTTCTGTTGCACCATAATGTGCAGAAAAAAATCACTTTCAGGAGAGTTTTCCAGCATGTCCCCATCTTTATTAAACATAAAACCATCATGCTCAAGCCCCGTCACACTGCCATCTCTCCACGGATATTCATTTGCAGGTGGCTGAGTATAGGACTGCATGTCCCGACTGATGTGCTATGGCAACAGGAAGAGAAAATGGAAAGGGAGGAGCGCTTCTTGAATATCTATGACCCAAGAATATGGAGTCAGGCATCACAACAACAACACTCTTAGCCCCTTTTTCCAATAAGATGCTCTCAGCTCTTTCTGAGGGAAAGCCTCCCGGCTCCCGCCCTCTCTCAGCCACCACACTTTGCTGAAGTGTCATTAGGATTGTAAAGGGCAGGTTGCCATAGAACTCAGATTGCTGCAGATGTATGGACTCAAAGATAAAACCACAATATTTTAAATATAAAGATCTGAGTGTGGTATTTAATGTAAGGGGCCATGCTGGGGACTACACTTGCTGCTTCTTCATCTGTAGTCTCTGTGCATGAATCTGTCATGTGTCGCTTTAGTGCTGCGTTTTGTGAGATTGCTAGCTTTGCTCTTCAATCCACTTTCATTGTCTATCTGTAGCCGTGCTTGTTAGTTAGAGCTGGGCATCGTATTTGGCAGAGCCAAGGAGAAAGGTGGGACACCTCTTTCACAGTTTTTGCCATAATGGTTGTCTTTTGATTTTTCCTGGGCTTTGGAGACTACCAAGGATTGTCTCTTTGAAATTATTCCATTTTGGCCGTGAAAAAGAA